AAAATACTTGCCTTCCCATAAATTATATAGTATGTCACTTTTCTCCGGGGGTTTGTAAAATCTCAAAACATTTACTTACCTTTTTAAGTTTGTTAGTGCTCAAAATACATATCCAAAATAAATTTTCACTTATCTTAAGATGCATATTTTTTTGAAGGCTTACTAATAAAAACATAAACGACCAAAGTTTAATTACAACTGCTTTTGTGCTTCCTTTCCCATTTCAACTTTCCTTCACATTTCTCTCCTTCTCTTTGGTACATTTTATCCAGCATCTTTGCAATTTTTATCAAATTGGAAGAAGTACTAATTCGGTGTTACAGTTTGCACAATTCCTGAATAAATTTTTTCATTCCTGGTCGGCATATAAGTATAAAAAAATATAGGCATGTTCAGAAATTTTACATAAATTGGGCAAGTCAGGCATTAAAATTTTTTAGACCTCTCTTTTGCTTGGTTGATGTTTTTAAGAAAAGCATTAATTTTATATTTTATAATTGACATTAAATAACAAATCCATAGCGGATCAAATAGACTTTTAATTTTGAAACAAACTCGGAAGACAAGAGAACACTTGATTCAAGCAAACTCCCCTCATAAATTACTTATTGAGAACAACACATATCACATTAGTTCATTGTATAAATAGTTTATTGTTATAAGTTAGTTGAAAAAATTTCCCTTGCTGCTTGCTTTGATGAATATATTAAGTACATATAAATATTTCTAGGTTTATCTCATCATTTTATGATGAGTTTCATAATGAATACATGAACCATTTTGCTTATGACATCAATTATGATGCTGGTGAGATTTATGAGACGAGAAGGATAAAACAGCAGAATAAGAGAGCTGAGTTATTGAAAACCTTTACAAAGTAATTATAGCTCTTGTCTCCTCATACTTTTCTTATAGTAATTGATATTTGTATTTATTAAAATGATGTAAGCTGTGATAGTAAGATTGATATTTAAATTATAGCTTAATGTAAATTATGTTGCTTATGGTAAAATTAATGTGAAAAAAGGGTTAACAAATATATCATTGCATTGGCATAGTCAGGGAATTTGTTTTTAATTCACAAGATTGAAGCTTTCCTTTTTGTGTAGCATTAGTTAACATCAACTGAAATTTTCATTATAAAGACATTTGCATGCTTTAGATAAAAAATATTATTCATTTATATTTTAAACAATTGTATTGTAATTAATGTTTCATAATATGCTGCTTTACTTAAAAGCAAACCTTAAAATTTAATTATGGACGATTTTAAATAAATAAACTCTTTTTTTTTTAAATCCGTACAATTTTCTAACCATTTTAATGAAAACAAAATATAGAAAAATTAGCTAAGCTGTATTATTCAGAAGGTGTAGAAATAAGCACAGTAAAACATTGTTAGAGCACATTTTTCAAAATTACAATAAAATAACAAAAATTGAAAAGATGAAGACCTCATAGGTTAAAAAGTGATTAATCCATTTTACTCAAGTAACGTTCGACAATTTCTAAACAATTAAGTTTTCCTTGCAGAAGTATGTTATAATGAATATATATTTTAGGAAAATCTGCTTTATCTCTAAATTATTATGTCTTTTTACAACAGAGTCCACACATAATCAGTTTGTAGCAAAATATATGTTATTAATTTTCAGACTTAATCTGGAGCAGAAGCTTCTAAATTATGTTGACAGGCTATAACTACTTAAGAGGTAGAATTGGTTTTCTTTTATTTCTACATTTGTTCTTAAATTTTTTGTTTGAATGAGTTTNCGTCTCTTAATTTATGTATTTCTAAAGAAGTAATGAGTTTCAGAAATTCTAAATTATGTTGACAGGCTAAAACTACTTATGAGGTAGCATTAGTTTTCATTTATTTCTACATTTATTCTTAAATTTTTTCTCATAATGTTTCGTCTCTTAATTTATGTATTTCTAAAGAAGTAATGAGTTTCAGAAATTCTAAATTATGTTGACAGGCTAAAACTACTTATGAGGTAGCATTAGTTTTCATTTATTTCTACATTTGTTCTTAAATTTTTTTCTCATAATGATTTGTCTCTTAATTTATGTATTTCTAAAGAAGTAATGAGTTTCATAAATTTTAAAGTGTCATTTAATGTTTGATTAAAATAAAATTTTATTGTTTTCATTTAGCATTTTTTCTCTCTTTCTCTTAGTAGTTTAAAGGCAATTAAACACATGTTTACACTACTCAACAAATTATTTCTGCTTTTTTATACTAATATTTATACTGATATATGTTATCATGTCTAGAGCCTAATGTAAGAATAATCATAACAATATTTTAAAATAAAATAAACTAAGGATTTAAAATTCTTGAAAAAATCTTTTAATTAACACTACAAAATTGAATGATATAACTTTTCTAGTCTGGACTTTTAAATTTGAATTGCTTGATTGTTCTTATCTATAAAATTTAGCCTTTTTCTACTGAAAGACATTACATTTTGTCAAAATTTAATATTGATAAATAGTTTTGGGTGTAATTGTTAATACAGTGTTATTGTTAGTTATACGACTGCTATGAAAATAGCGTAAGAAGTAATTAAAAAGAATTTGTACTCTTCACTTGCCAATCCCTTGTAGGATTTAGCTATATTTACATGTATATTTATTCCTTATGTATATTTATTCCTTTCGAGAATAGAAGGAATCAAGTTAATTTTTTTTTATTTACTGCAAAAATGTAAATGACTAAAAATGCTTGACCAAATTTTGCATTAAATATTCCTCTATTATCTTTTGTTTTACTGGTCGCTTTTATTTTGAGCCTCTAAGCATCATTATTCCAATCAAAGCCATACATATTTTTTCCTGCCTTACTTTGATAAATAATGTACAAACAATTCATTTCTTGAGAGAATCTAGGCAACTTAAAGTTTAAGAAAAAGGGAAATTAGTTCTCTGAAATAAAATAAAGCTCAAGTACGGATCACCAAAACTACTCACCTTGAATAAATCTTATGATACAAAGATGCCATCATATTATGTCATAGAGAAGTGTTTAATATTAGTTTGTAACCTTTCGGTGCTTGATATTGTAATTTAATATATTTTCAGCACATAAAGTGTGCCCCTCAAGATAGCCACAGTGACTCAGGGGATAGAGAGCTCACCTCCCAATGAGGAGAACCGGGATTGAATCCCAGTAATGGCTGGTCAATGCAAATTCTGCACCCGGCTCTCACCGACCACAATGCTGATGCAAAATATCCTCAGTGATAGAAGGATCATGGGTTATAGTACCTTTGCTGTCAGGCTAACCGTGGGAGATTTTGTGGTTTTTCTCCTCATGTAATGCAAATTCAGATTATTCCATCAAAAAAAGTTCTCCAGGCAAATTTCTCCCAATATTTGATCCAGGAGTTCCCTTGTCTTCTGGATTGGGATCAAAATTTCAGGGCTATGGAGTTGAACATTGGTAATTGTAAACCCAAAATCGGGTCCGCTGTTCAACGCGGTTATAATGCAAGATAAAATATTCACTATGTTCTCAATCGATGTCATCTCTGATTCAAATTTTTTCATTGATCAAAATTTAACAACTATTAAGTCAATAATATTTTATCTTTGATTATGAGTTAGGGCTTATGTCAAAATTAACGATTGCCACAGGGTGACTAACTATTGCAAATAGTGATTAAAAACTTGTTTGCCAGTCGCCACCTTTTATTACAAATGTGAAACATGTGCACTTTATTATTGGTTTTTTTTGTTAAATAAATATGGAACTAATGTGAATATTTCATAACGCTTAGGAAATTATTTTATTTCACTCTTGTTTTTTAAAATTTCTCTTCATTTTACAATTGTAATATTTACCATATTTTGAGAGATGCTTTAAAAGAAATGCCTGACATTATTATTTATTGACAATTTTTAACCATTTAAAATTTTCTAATTTTGAAAAAGTTTCTGCTGTTAAAAATGCTACAACTGGCTATTGCCAAAGCTTCCTAATTTTGCTCTTTACCATCTAACAACTCCTGAGTATTTTATGCGCATGGGACTCAAGAACTAAAAATTATATTGATCTGCATATCCTAAGTTTGAAAAGAAATTTAATTTTTTAATAAAATTTTAATTTTTAAATTTTATTTCATTTGGGTAGAAAATACATGTCTAGGTATGTAAATATATTAGACTAGATAGTTCAATAGGAATACCATAAACCTAGGATTTACCTGACCTAGGAATACCACCTAGGATTCAATCCGAATACAATAAAATATCAATTAAGTATGTTTCAAATTTTTAGCTAAAATTTGCAAGATGTTGCTGTGGGGAAGTTCAGTATTTTAATTAATGAGTGTGAACATCGCCAAGCTTTTAACTTTTTTTAAGTTTCTCTAGATAATTCTATGTGGTGCTGTTGCAGCACAACAGCATTTTGATCCCAATTTTTTTCAAACAATTCCGATCCCAATGTGGCCTTGAAGTGACCATTCAGTTTGCTTTTCACTCTAATTGGGAAGCTGTAGCAGCGCTTTTCACTTATATGGGAGCAGAAACATTGCCCCACCGCCTCGTAATACTCAGTTATTTTCCTGAGACCACTTCACCATCCGATTACCAGTCTCTGTAAGTGAGATCATTATATTAGTATATTATAATAATTAGATCAAATTATTAAATGCACTGTAATGTTTTCATAATTGCATGCTTTGCACGAGGTTGTATGCAATACTTTTATATTGAAAGATACATGTAATGGGTTTTATATGGGAGATTTTTTATATACTTCCTATTTGTATTTATTTTTAACGTATTGCATTACAATGTTAACCCAGTGATACATGAACATAAACAAGTGCAAACAGGTTACAGTCGCGTAAAAAAAATACAGCTGTATAGAGTATCATCTGATAATTATAATTTTACATAGAATCTTATAGTCCGTCTAATAATATGGCCGGTGACTGTAATTTGCAGCGAACACGTTATGGTCAACACACCTCAACCAAATGATTGTCGAAACGGCTCTAAGGCTACATTATTTATTTGTTTTTGTACACAAAAATGTTTGTATTGTTTTGTTCGCCAATAATAATGCGCTGACATTTCTTTAAAATGTTGTTTTTCTTAACATATAATGGATTTATTTATTCCTTCATCTTCTCCTCCATTTTCTGCCTCATAGCTTCGAACATCTTTCCGCATTTCTCGCTGAGTGGACTTATTTCCATGACTTTTTTGTTGTGTTCCGCCATGCAGTCCTGAAAACAAACAGTACATCTTAGTTCATGTTTTTTTTTCTTCAATACACAACCCAGATAGCAAAATAACCCTGAAAGCATGTAACCTTACGCCAAGCTTTTGTCGTAATTTTTTTTTATGGTCACGAAAATGTTTGCACTAAAAACCTTTTTTCAGATAAAGCAAAAATATTGCAGCTTCAAATCTTTCATCCTAAAAGGATTAAAAATTATTTTTTAAATTTTTTTTAAAAAGTTTTTTTAAAAGCTTAAAGCTTGTCACTTACACCCTTGTGCAAATTTATTGAAATAAACTTTTTTTTTTCGTGTTTTTTAAAGAAGATGTTTTGGGGTTGTTTCGGTTACAATGGGGNGGATTTCAGCTGAGCATAAAAGACTTTGAGAAAAGAAATCTTATAATGACCTAGATTTAAGATAGTTTTCACCTTGAAGTCTAGCTTTATTAAAGTGTTTTTTTTTCACGCATGAAAACCCTAAGTTAACCTCGATTTAAGGTTTTTATATAGAAGATTGTTTTCCAAGGTTTTGGTTGTTGTTGTAGTTGTACTTCATTTACGTCGCACTAGAGATACACAATGGGCAATTGGCGACGATCTGGGAAGCATCCCTGAAGATGATCCAAAGACATGCCGTCACAATTTTGGTCCTCTGCAGAGGAGATGGCAACCCCGCTTCGGTAGCCCAACGATCTGCACGCGAAGTCGAGCACTCTACGGTAGAACACCAGTTTAAAGAGGACCCATACCGCACACCCTTGGTCCCTACGGAGGCTGATCCAAGTGGTCACCCACCCGCACACTGACCATAGTCAGTGATGCTTGACTTCGGTTATCTGCTGGGATCAGTCCACTGCGGGACCCAAGGTTTTGGATGAGGGTAATGTGCGTATAATACAGCAGATTGTGACAGATCTCGTTTTAAGGTTAGAAGGTTTACACGTAAAACGCATTACAAACCTTTTCAGGTTTACACTAAAAGGTTTTCACCGAGTGGAAATAAACCTTATTTTGCTCTCTGGGATGTAAACCTAAAAAGGATTGCTATGAGATTTACATGTAAACCATGTAACCTTAAAACGAGATCTGTGACAATTTGCTGTATTCTACGCACATTACCCTCATCCAAAACCTTGGAAAATAACCTTCTCTATAAGAACCTTAATTCGAGGTTGACTTAGTGTTTAGAAGCGTGAAGAAATTCTTTAAAAAATAATTTTTAATCCTTTTAGGATGAAAGGTTTGAAACTGCAATATTTTTGCTTTATTTGAAAAAAAGGTTTTTAGTGCAAACATTTTCGTGACCATAAAAAAAAATTCCGACAAAAGCTTGGCGTAAGGTTACATGCTTTCTGGCAGAGTGTTCCGTAATCACCCTTAATGTATATTTTTTAGAATAATTGACAACAACAAAAAATATGGCATTAGAGGTCGCTAGTTGAAACTCAAAGTCATGGGATTGTCAGAAAGTGATACGACAGACGATAATTTTTATTTGAAAAAAAAAATCTCCTTAAATTTAGCAGTGGACTGGAAACGATGGATTGTTTTCCAGTTAAAATTAAAATATTCCGAAACTATTTCGAAAGTTGTACAAATTTTGATTTGCGATGTATCGTTATCGGTAATAAATTCTGGTTTGTAGCGATCAGGAAATAAATTAAAATTATGCTGTTTTTCTGGCATTGAGCATTAAGGGAGATTTAAACGAAGTCGAAAGTTCCATCACTCTAATAAAATGACTACCCGTCTGCTGGAGTGATCAGAGAACGATGGAAAATTGCATTGTGATCAGGTGTAGGGTGCCTGTAGAGGTTTGAGTGCTCTAGCTAAGAGGGAAATTGTCAAAAATTCGAGTGAAATAATTTTCTATTGAATACACTGAAGCCATATTTTGAAAGTGTAGTAAAAAGTTGAATTTTCAAATTGGTACAAATACATTTTTGAAAAAAAAAATTGTGGCTTCTGAGTTAATGAGTTAAGCATTTAATACTGTAGAGAGAAAACTATTTTGTTCGAAAACATTTTTACTGCGTTTTCTTACCTTAACTTCTTGTCTGCCAGCCTCATCTTTTTCTTTCATCATTTCTACGAACTTTCCCTAAAAACAACAGACAAACATGTGTTAGCAAAATTAATATTATCCTAAGAGATTATTCAGTCCCCAGACAAATTATTAAACGCACTATAAGATTCTATGTAAAATCTTAATTATCAGGTAATACTATACAGCTTAATTGATTTAACGCCGTTTGCATTTCTTTACGTTAGTGTATCCATTGGTAAAATTAGACGATATGTAATATAAATTCGAAGATTGGATAAATTAGATGATATATTATATAAATATAGAATAATTATTATATCAGGTAAAGTATAAGTATATTATAATAATTAGACCAAGTTATTAGAAGCATTGTAGTGTTTTAATAATGACATGCTTTGCACGAGTTTATAGGCAATACTTAGGGTTTTTCCTCGGGATATTTTTTTATATACGTACTTCCTATTTGTATTTATTTTTTAACGTATGGCATTACAATGTTAACCAATCGATACACGAACATAAACAAGTGCAAACCGGTTTCAGCCTCATAAAAACAATAATGCTGTACAGTATCACGTGATAATTAAGACTTTACATAGAATCTTACAGTGCGTCTAATAATTTGGCCAGGGACTGTATTTTTCACTGAATGTAGTTTCAACAGGACTGGAGGCCATCTCAGAACAGAAGGTGTGTACGAAATCATTTGGACTGAGCATTTGGAAGCAATGAGAGTAGGCGTGGTGGTCCTTTTACTCCCCTGATTTATCTTCTCTTGATTTTTTTTCTCTGGGGTGCCGTAAAGAGAATTGTGTAGGATACTCCCGTAAATTCTAAAATGAACCTGGTGGGGTGGCACAAACCTTCATGATCTTCAATGAACAGTGAAGAGCCAGTTATCTTCGAAAATATTCTCCAATTCATGCTGCTTAGGTGTCGTGCGTGCATCTAAGCCAAGGGGCACAGTTTTGAACACCTACCGTGATGTTTGCAAGTATATTACACAATATTGCACTCTTTTGTTGTGTAATAAAGCGCTTTACACTAAATTCTGTGTTCTAGTCTTCGTGTCCTTTTATACTATGTGATGGTGACATTTCCGCGATCGTTTCCTACGTAACTATGGCTCCTAACAACGTTTTCTACCTTCCCTCTAACTGGTTTCTTAAGACAAGCGTCTTCTCTGGGCGTCAGCGGGAAGTTGACGTACCGCTGACGCCAACAAAATAATGCATTGTATCTACCACTACAAAAAAATAATTCCAATTCACTAGTATATGACATGTTAACTCGATTCTATGGTGGAGTACCTTTTCATAGATGAATGTTGACATTGTCGATAACAACTCCTATCCCCACGATGATGTGGTGATAAATCATCAATTAATGTTTTATTTTAAATGGACCAACATAAGCCATCAGATTTTGATAGCAGATGTTGTTTTACCATTTTGATGTACTACCAACAAGTTGTGTTTATTAATGTTGAACCTACAACAACTACTAAAACATGATGGAAGATATTGTTTTTTTCTAACTATGTTCGATCATCATGTTTTGTTTAGTATTGTTCAACGCGCAAAATGAAAGAGAGAACACTCTGAGTAACTTTTAATCTAATGATCGTATTTCCACGAACTAGAACTCAGTGGTTCGTGAGTATTAGCTTTTACAGCTATTGTATTCTTTTATTTCCACTGACATACACAGACGATAAACAAAAAAAAACATTAATAACAAGAAAAAGTCGTTTGGTTGCCTAGCAACCAACCAGAGTCACCGTTATTATATTTACAAGTGTTTGCAGACGATTTAAAACAATTATTTAAACTAATTCTCCATTGATGTCGGAACAGTGAGAACCTATGTTTAAATCGTTAAATATGCTAACTAATTATGCAGGCGGAACTATAAGTCACGAAATCAGACACCTTCTCTAAATAAACATAAATTTTTTTAAAAAAGGGCTTCAGATTCTGGACATGTTGAATTGACTATTTCGGGACATCTTAAATTGGTATGTAACTACATAATATTTTCTGTAAATGAAAGAAACATACTTTACACGTACCAATGAGGAGAGTGGCAGTGGCTCAGAGAATGGAGCTTCCCAATTAGTTTTTCAAGGTTCGAATCCCAACGATGGCTGGGAGATGCTAATTCTGTTCCCGACAAGCCAACCAAAGGGCTGATGTGAAAGTTTTCTCAGTGGCAAACGTTGAGCATTAGGTAGAATCTCCTTGCCGTCGCAAATGTGGATTAGTAATATTAAAAAAGCCTCCTTAAAGTCTACCAACGTTGGATCCAGAACTACTCTTGTCTTCTGAGTAGGTATCAAAATGACAAGGAATGAAGAAATGAACTTTGATAGTCGTAAACTCAAAAAAACAGGTGGGCTGTTCAACCAACACCTCCTAGAAGAAGGAAGGCCTCAGCACGGATCAATTTAGTAGTCCGATGGGACGAAGTTAACTGCGCAGTTGAAGAAAAATAAGAATGATGTCATTACGCTCGGGGTACTAAGCTGCGCAGTGGTTGAAAATACGAAATATGTCATTACATTTGGACAACTAAAGGATATTTATGGTAACCTGTGATGAGGTCTACTCTTTTCTTGGAGGTGTTTGTTCAACTCCGAAAAAAAGCTACATACGAGGGTTGCTATTTATATTTCTGGCCTAATAATGAAAAAACAAATATGTAGGATCCGAATATTTTTTATCGATCTATCG